CTACACACTTTCTAATAACCAACAAATTTTTAATGCAATTTTTTTAATGCAAATTACATGCAATTTTTTTAAATCACAGGAGGCACATAGATATAATATTAATCTTAATATACAAAATTTTTATAAAAAGTTGTTTTTGCAAATCATGCTATGTAATGAAATATTTATTCTTGCATTAGATATAAAATTATATAATACATTATATAAATGTATATGTAATTAATATAATATAAATACATAAATATATAATTAATATGATATAAATTATATAAATTTTATTTACTTTTCTACGTTTCAGAAAATCAGAATTTTTGATCGGATACCTGAGCTAATCAATTGGATGATCGTGAATCACTAAATAATCAAATAATCTACATATCTACAGGATAATAAATTCTTCAGACTTAATTAATATTTTGTAAATAATATTTTCTGATAATATAAAAAAATTAAATTAAATAATTTTCAAAAACGAAAATGGTTATGTATTATATAAAATAAAATATAATATGTATTAGGTTTTCCAAAATAATTGTCACGTATGAAAATATATTGTATATCAATTATGTAAAATTTAATATATATTTTATAAAAAAAATTAAAAACATGTTTTATGTAAATGAATTCAAATGTTACTCGCAATAATTGTTTTAGAACATTATATTAAACAACGTATGTCTATTAAAAAAATTATTAAAATAAATTTACATATAAATAAAAATCTGTGTATATTTAAATTTTCTAAGTATTTTATGATTATTTTATAATAATTAAAGGGGATTTTGATTATGATATTAATTATAGACGTAACTTTCACAATCTGAAACGTCACTCTTGCAATCATATATGTTATGATCACTAGTAACATTAAATTTATTGTTTGAATATTGATAGATGAAAATAGAAACGTGAATAAAAGAGGAATAACGATTTCTGATTCTCCATGCATTATTTATTTCTCAACAAGTTTGCTCATTATATTAAAATTGAGTTCGAGAAGGTAGCAGAAAGTCGGAGATGGTGCAGATGGAACAGTGAACATCCGAGTGAATAAATTATTCAAAGTAGATTCATAAATAAACGAGCAAACATAACGCGAAGACAAGCAGTAAGTGTGTCTCACGTGATTAAATACATTACATAAAACTAAACTAACTCAGAGAGTTGATTCTATTTAAAGAATATTTTTTGCAACGCTTTGTAACGCTTTGCTGGTTAAGTTAACTAAATTCACTGCGTGACGAAGGATAATGTTGATATAATTTTTCTACTAAATTAGTCTCTTGTTTCACGGGACATATTTCAGCACTTTCACATTTATAATATTCTTGATGAACGTGACATATGTTACATGCACTTTCATATTTTATCATTATGACTATCTTGATACATTGGAATCGTATAAAATCCCTTTTCAATGAGAAAGAATTAAAAGAACGTAAAGAATTAAAAAACAACTTTTCACAATTATAATCATCATTGCATATAATAAAATTATCTTGATTATAGAAGAAAAGCTTTCTTCATTATGTTCATTTTGCATTTTGCATTAAATATTATACATTAAAAATATTTAAAAAATATTATTTGTTTATTTCAATCTCTTATATATTATATTATTTTAATATAATTTTTGTAAATATTATTATCAGCAATATTTCATATTTTTATGTTTGTGCATATATATATATATATATATATATATATATATATATATATATGTATATATATTTTATACATATATAAATGGAAAACTATATAAATCTTAAATTTAAATAAGAAAATAGATATAAAATTATATATATTTAGTATCTTTTGAGTTTTTCATTTATACATATTTAGTGGTTACTATTTTAATTTAATTTAATTGTCTGACAAATTAGGTAATCTTTTTCTTACCAAAAGCTAATAAGAAAGTTATTATTTATTACATATTTTAAAATTCAATATTAAATATATACACGGAAAGAACACTTTTGCTGGCAAATCTAAAAATTTGGCTAGATACAGATCTGAAAATAATTTTATTTGGATCTTCAAAATTATTATACGATGTTCAAATTGATTGTTAGAAGATCAAACATTTTTGCAGCATCATATTTAAGTATTCTACAAAATAATTTTAGATTTGTCAGCAAAAATATTCTTTCCGTGTATCTCGCTATATGTCAGATTTAGAAAATTTTGGATATCTTTAAATAATTTAATCATTAAAATTAATTTGCTGCTGCGTTTATTAAGTTAATAAGTAT